AAAAGAAATGTAGCCAGTTACTTGGCTAAAAGTCAAAATGTCCTTGGGCCTGTTAGCAGCATACTCTGTTCCAAAGGCCAAAAATGTGAAAAATATTTGGGAGCTTGTATCTAATCCTTAAAAGATTTTAAGGTTACCACTTCAGATGGGGAAATATGGGCGGGGAAAGAGTGGGCATGGATTTGATCAAACACCTTATATGCTTATAAGCCTCTATGAAATTCTCAATAAATTATTTTTTTAAAAAAGAACATTAAAAACATAATACTTGATTGGCTTATGGGACTGTTGTCTCTTCTATTTTCAGTTCCTAAGAAGTTGGAGTTCCATGGCAAAGCGTATGTTACACAAAACATGCTTAAAAGCAAGTTTTAACTGCCTTAAACTTGAGTTGCAGGGCCCTCCTGACACCTTTATATCAGTGTCCTATAAAACAGGTTATATGGTTGGATCAATGTTATATTAATCTGTTTTTCTACTGTAATGAACAACCTAAGCCAGGCTGCTATCTGAACAGAGGTTGATTTTGGCTTACAGCTGTAATCTCTGGTTGAAAGCTCCCTGTGGATGGCCTTAGAGCTGAGACCAGAGGCACACATGTGTTGGTGTCTCCCATAGTTTCTCTCAGAAGAATATAAATTTATAGAAATATAAATTTATAGCAATTTATAAATTTATAGGAAGAATATAAATTTAGGAATGTAAAGCCACCAGGATTTGATCATGAGGTGCCCCCTGATGGTTGTGTTAGTACTGATCTCCTTTAACTGCAGGACTAGAGTTTCCAGTTGCCTGTACCTCTCAGTGAATGTTAAATCTCAGCTCAGAAACCATGAGTACATATAGCGTTTACCTTCAGGTTGGGGGCACTCAGAAGCTTGTCCCCCACCCCTTGTCTGTACTAAGCTGTGCTTGTACTTGGTGCTGTTAGTATATTGCTCTTGACACTTAGGGACTGCTTGCTAATCTGGGTTAGGGCTAAGGAAATGTTAACTAGCATAAATGCTTTTGTGAAAATAAAGCTGTATGCCAAAGCTTATGAAAATGCTCCCTATGGTGTTTGCATGCCTGAGAATGCTACATTGCTCAGTAGCACTGTGTACTCTGGTCAGAAACAGAACTGGCTTTCCTAGAATCCAGACCTTAATATGTAACTTTTCAGGAAGAACTCAAGAAGTATTATTACTTGTTCTGTGAACTCCACCTTTAGGCACAGGCTGCAGACCTTCTTAGGTAGCTAGGTTTATGTTTGGCTTAGCAGAAGCTCTACACTCAGGAGTTCCCAGAAGAGACTAGAGTCCTGGCCCAAGCTCATCATTATCCTCGCTCTTCCTGTGACAGTCACACTGGACCCACCTTAGTCTGCCTTAAGGTCTCCCCTTAACTCTGGGTGGCTTTCTCTGCATCACTGATCCAGGTATGCTTGGCCTGTCACCTGTGACACAGTGAGCATTATGGCCAGACCTAGAATCATGGCGTGGCCTGACAAGTGACATATGACAGCCATGTTCATCAGTTGGTTTGCACCATGTTCATCAGTTGGTTTGCACCTTTCACAGGAAAGGTGTGGAACGAAATTCCTGAAGCAAAGGCAGAGTTGCAATCTGTCAGGGTAGCTCTGAGAAGCAGAAGAGTAAAAACACACAGGGCCAGTAGTAGTGGGTGAGGGTGCATCCTTGGGGTTCCCTTGAGTTGGTCATATTTCTCCTGAGTTCCCACTGCACGTGGACCTTGCTGGTGAGTAGACTCATTTCAGTGGCCACATGCTAACCTCCAGTGATTTTGGGGAAAGGGTCACTGACTTCCACAGAGAGGAGAGCCTGTGCATCTCCTGGGAACACTAGCACATGCTAGAGAGCAGCTAACCGTGAGGGGATCCGGGCACAGATCAGTTTCCCCAAGCCAGTTTAAAATTCTAAAACATAAAGTTTACAAAGCAGTCCATGAAGTGATCAAGTATACTCAAATTCAGAAAAGTACTCCCCTAAAAAAACAACAACAAAAACCCCTCAGTTCTTCAGTGGTTATCGTATTGTGTGCTGGATGTTTGTTTTTGCTGTGCATATTCCCCAGAGTGCAATGCCATACTGTTTCCTGCCTGGTGACATAGGGCTGCCTGTTTCCATGGCAATACAATACTCTTCATGAATTTTAGTGGTGGGAAGACTGCGCTGTCCAGGTTTACTGAAACCGCACACGTTTTCCTCTTGGAACTTGTCTCAGGCGTCTGTAGTGACCCCCATTCTTAACAGTTCTGAGAGAAAACAATCCTGGCCTCCAGCTTGTTGGCCTTGCCATCCAGGATAGGATCTTGGATGTTGAGACAAACTCTCAATTTGGGAAGCCCTGGCAGTCCTGTATAATTATGGCTTCCAACAGGGAAGTGCTATCTCTTTGCTTGTGATTCCCAGCAACTCCTTCTGCTGTACTTGAATAATAAAGGCAAATTTAAAGCAAAGTGGTCCGATAGATGAGTCTGGGATGAGTATTACAGAACTAAGTATGAATGTTTGTGGTTTTGACAGTGCCCAGGGCCAGCGGCCTGCACACTTTGTGTTCCCACCTGTATGCAGGATTGCATGGGCCTTCTGTTCTAATGGATACTTTTCTGTGGGGATTGTGTATTAAAATTTCTGTAAATTGCCTGTCTTGGTTATAATTACATTATCTGCTGTCATTTTTGTTAAATTGACGGCCTCATAAATATTAAGCACCCCCCCCCGCGCACCTTTAAGTAACAAGATCTTAACTTGAACAGGAAACTTGATGAGAGTCCTTTGCACCAGGACCTTGTAGGCTAACTTTATTTAGTTCAGATTGAAACAGCTGTGCCTGTCCTTCCTGTCTTTCCACTTCCATCCAGCCTCCTTCAGGCGTTTAACTGTGAAACTGGTATACTGTAGCAGTGGTCACAGGTCAGCAAAGTAGCACGTGCTTAAGAGTCAGTCAGATTGGCTGTGGCACACGCCTTTCATCCCAGCACTTGGAAAGCAGAGACTGGTAGATCTCTTGAGTTCAAAGCCAGCCTTGTCTACATAGAGAGTTCCAGTCCATCCAGGGCTACATAGTGAGACCTTGTCTCAAAAAAAGGTCAGTTATTTACTTTTTTCTTTTTTTATCATGTGTGTGTGTGTGTGTGTGTGTGTGCGCGCGCGTGTATTTACATATATGTATACATGCATAGGTCCATTGTATGTATGGGTGCACGTGTGTGTGTGTGTGTGTGTGTGTGTGTGTGTTTGTGAAGGCCCAAGGATGATGTCAGGCACCCTCCTTGATTGCTCTTACACCATGTTCTTTGAGGCCGTGTCTCTCAGTCAGACCCATAGCTTGCCAGTACATCTAGTCTTTCTAGCCAGCTTGCTCAAGGGATCCCCTAGCTCCTCCTCATGAGACTGGAATTACAGCCAGCCAACATAGTCACCCAGCATTGTGGCTTATAGGTTCTGGGGAGTCAAACTCCAGTCCTCTTGCTTACGCACCAAGCATTTTAACTACAAAGACATCTCAGACTGACTCACTCTCTCTCTCTCTCTCTCTCTCCTCTCCCTCCCTCCCTCTCTCCCTCTCTCTCTCCCTCTCCCCCGCCCCTGTCTCCTTCTCTCTTCTTTTCTCTTTTCTTTTTGAGACTGGTCTCCCTATAGCATCAGCTGGCCTGGAACTCACTATATAGACCAGACTAGCCTTGAACTCAAAAAAGATCTGCCTGCCTCTGCCTCTCAAGTGCTGGAATTAAAGGCATAAGCCACTGTGCCTGGCTCTCAGACTTTACTTTTTAAGTCAGATATGTGAGCAGTTAGGAACTAGAGTCATGAAATAATTGGTTGATAGCAAAACTTGCCTCTCATCCAAGTTGGCACAAGACATATCAGGCACTATGGGTATTTAGTGCTGTCTCTGCTGTCTTCATCACCATTCTGTTTTTCTCTCCCTTTATCTTTGATTCAATTGACTATTAAAGCTAAGGATAGGTATCATCCGTTTTTATTAGTATTGAATGACTTCTTGCAAATTTTGTGGGAATAATTTAACCTCAAATGGTTTTCTTTCTAATACTGTAAGTGGGTCAGATGACCATTCTGACTTTCCAGAAATTCAGAATTCTAAATTTTAGAAGCATATGGAGAAGCAGCCCTGGCCCTTGGAGATTATTCTAAGGCAGAGACTACAAAACCAAATGTCCTGGGGTGACAAGAGAGAGGAAGGATTGAGCTGAGTGTTGGGAAGGGAGAAGATTGGAGCCAGTAGTTGCTTTCTGTGTCCCATCTGAGGAGCCTAGTGCTACCAGATGATCTGATTCCCCAGGGAAGTGAGAAACAGGCGTGTGTCTGTGTCTCTGTCTAGTGTATGCTTGCAATCTTGTTACTGTTACAAAATATTGTTATATGTTAGCCTAGCTTTTCTTTTAAGTATGTATCAAATAGAATACCTGCACAACCCACAGCAGACCCACAGGTGTCTTTCAAATACTAGCTCTCAGAATGATCTTACCAAACTGTGACCAGAGGTAATCTCATTTAGTCACTTCTAACAAGGACATGCCCCTGCCTGACTTAGTTACAGAGCTTACACAAATCACTTGCAGCACAAAATTCATGTAGTAATCTGTCCTGCTCTTTGGTGGTCTCTGCGTCCAGAGTCAACTTTGCAAAAGCAAGTGGTATTTCAGCCTGCTTTTCAGAGTTCTCAATAGTAGTGTTCTCAACAGAACAGAAGAATCTACTAACACAATAGCTGTACTTTCTACAGTCCTTGAATGTACTAGCATTTTAAAGTTGAGAAACTGAAAATTCGGCATCGCTTTACCTCATCAAATTGTTATTTACTTAATTTCTCTTTCTTTCTTTAAAGATTTGAACATGGAATTCAATCCTTCAGACCATCCTCGGGCCAGCACAATATTCCTCAGCAAATCTCAGACGGATGGTAGGTTACTAATGTATTTGCTTCTTTTAAAAAACGGGATTAGCCTAAGTGTTGATACTGCCACAGATTTGATTTTCAGTATGAGCTAAATTCCCCTTTAGTGACTGTGAAGTATATTGTATAATGTTTATTCTTTGGTAGTGATTTATATTTTTAGAATTTTCCATGTGGAAGATTTGTCTTTATTTTGCCTATTAGCTGAGTTGTCTCTCAATATATCCCATAACAGGAGTTAATATATTGAGTCAGAAATTTCCCTTGAAGGCTTGACATTTGCCTAACCTCTCAAACATTAAATGTGGTTGCTAGTCAGACAGTAAATAAAAACAAACAATATAAACCTTAAATAAAAGTTAGTTAACTATCTCTGTTCTCTGACTCAAGAGCTGAATTGAACCACTAGCTCATTCTAAAGATCCGGGATTCTTGCAATGTGCTCCAGGTACATACGTGTGTGTGTGTGTGTAATTTCTCCTAGGGGTTTTTTTCTCTTCTTAGTCCCTGACTTATCTCTGTTACCTGGCCATTGGCTACAAAAGAGGCAAGATAAACACAAACTTAGTGTTCACAAATCTTTTGAGGACACCTGCAGAGAAGTAGGGCATGATGACACAGTGAACAGGCTGTTGTCTGGGTAAAGGGGAAGTCCTACAGGTTCTACCCTTGAGTTTGGGAAATTGCTGCTCTAATTTAGTGACAATCCTAAAAAAGACTAAACATGAGAGGAGACAAGCATGATTAAGACAGTAAGTTCATGTAGAAGAATTAAGGAGACCTTACTAGTGGTTTAAGTGTCAGCTTTGGCATACATTGTTGGTGTAATATAGATGATTATCAAGCACTGAAAGATGTTGGCATAATTATGAAAAGTAAGTATTTCCAGGAGTAAGGAAAAAAGTCAGTGTAAGCATCATCGGTACAAAAAAAACCAAAACAAAACCCTTTTCTCATAGTGAATGGAAAGTTATTGAGAGATATAGGCTGTTAAGCAAAAGGGTGTGGGTGAGGATGAGAATTTAGTGAAAATGAGTGTCAATATTGATTTGCTGCAGACACTTAAGGACAGTGCAGTGAAAAATGGTGTTAAGCTGCCTGGCTCTAGATAGGGTTCCTGTAGACTCAAGAACAAGTGTGGCTCAGATACCTTCACAAGACCCTTTTACAGAAAGGGTGACACATATCTGATTGTCCTAGTAAAAGGAAGTAAGCTAACAGAGGAAAGATCACTCTAGAAATAGCCTAGGACCATTCTCCTTTGCTCTAGATCCCATCCTTCTTCCTCTTCTGGAACTCCAGGTTCCTAGTTCTCTAGCCCCTTTTTATTACTGCTTCAATTTCTTCTTAAATGCTAGGACTTTCTACTTCATATGCAGACATACTTGAGTCTCACATTGCAAATGAAAGGAAAGTAATCTCTTCCAGTAGGTGTTCCTACTGCTCTTTCCATTGGGGCTTGGGGTTAGTGTGGTCATTCTTTCCCTCCTGTTTGATCACTCCTGTGGCATTTGCTACCACATCTGCTTTCTTTCTTATAGCAGCCATTTGATGAAGACAAGCTCATCTAATGGTCTTTATCTATACTTAAGAGAGATGGGGTTTTATATACATAACTTAGTAACTTTAATTTTTTTTTTTTTTTTGTCTTTCTGAGACAGGGTCTCCCTGTAGTCCCAGCTGTCCTGGAACTCACTATATAGACCAGGCTGGCCTTGAACTCACAGAGATCTGCCTGCCTCTGCCTCAAGTGCTGGGATTAAAAGCATGTGCCACCACGCCCGGCTGGTAACTTTAATTTTTGAGGGACATAGTAGCCAGAGACTTGGTTATGTATTTGAATAATTGGCTTGGGTTATGTATTTGAATAATTGGCTTGGGACAAATTGGTGCTAAAAAAATTAAGGCTACTATTGCTGCCTGGATCATAAATGACCAGTTGAGATCATGAAGTAGGCATCTGCCCCCACCTGCTGCCGCTTGCTACAACATCCTATGCTTCCCTGTTTTAGCTCCTCCCCTGGTCTTTTTCTGTAAAGCTTGTCTCTCTAATAGGATTTCTCAGTTACTGAGAAGACATGGTCCTAATGGGAGCCATTACTGGTCTCCAGTCTTCCCCATTGCTGTAGGACCTGTGCACGGGGCAGGCAGATTGTACAACCTAAATTCAATGTGGCTGCCTTTCTTTGCCTCCACATGCCAGGGATGTACTCCACTAATACCACTAAGCCGCAGCCATCCTGGCTTTGAATACCTAAGCTGAAGACCACTACTTTCTTTTAGGCCTGAGTGACCATCTTTGTATGGAGAACATTAGAAATCCTTTCTTCCTTATATTTTTGAATGATGTGATACAATATTGGTAGTCATAATCAACCCTCTGTATAACCAAACAGACTTCTTATCCAGCTGTGTCTTTGTACTTATTAACCAATTTCTCTGTCCCCATCTCTCATCCTGCCTGTCCTCATTTCTCAGCCCATTTATATACCATGAATGAAGAGGTCACACTGCACTCTTCTTTCTGTTCCTGATTATTTTACTTCGCATTATGATTTCCAGATCCATTCAAAGCTAATTTGTTTGTTTGACTTTTTGAGACAAGGTCTTGCTATGTATCCCATAGGCTGGCCTTGAACTATGCTCTTTCTGCCCCAGCCATGGTACTGAGTGCTGAGATTACAGGTATGTGCCACATAGCCAGAGGTTGTGCTTTATAGATAAAAGATGTCTGTATTTCCCTTTATGTTGCCTGTTGCTTAAGAAGAGAGACTGTCTTCCTCATTTTGTTCTTTCTAGACCTATAGCTATTAGATATAGGAATTGTATAAAGAAAAAGTAATGAAAGGATGAAGTCCGGAGTCTTGCTTCATCCTGAATAGTCATACCATGATTACTGTTTCATGTAGCAATTTTACTTTCTCCCATGTTCTTTAGCTTTATTGAAAAGGGACACATTCTTTAGAGGCAGGAGGGTGGAGGTATTTCCCGCTTAGGTGGTAAATTTATGTTTCTCTTTTCCATCCTGAATTCTGTCTGATCAACTGCCCTTGGGGTAGCTCTTCCTCTACAATTGCCCCTTCAGTTCTAGGAGGTAGGAATTGGGGCCAGTGGGGAGGTTGTCTCTTGACCAGGAGATGCCTATGAGGTAAATACACAGGGATGCCTGTGGTCTGCTATTCTCAGAAGGATTGACCTGCTCTGAGCAATTGGGCCTCTCTGGTCTGTTGGTCAGAAGTGATAACTAGTTACTTTTCAACTCTGAGCCCCTTCAGCTTCTCCTCCATAAGTGCTGTTCAACCCTCTCATTGTGTTTCATAGCTGATTAGTTTACTTTACATGATATATGTGGTTGGTCAGCTGTCCCATGAAATCTAGGGACCTACTGAATTAACTGATAATGTGACATATCACTGTGTATGCAAGAATAGCTGGAAGTCTGGGGAGGATTTTCTGAAGACAGCAGTGACTAAAAGCACAATTCTCTGGAGTCAGAATACCCTAAATGGAAGCTCAGCTCTGTCACCAGGTGTATGACCTTGCACATAAGGTTCATCTGATCCTCCTGAATGTTTCTCATCTATTAAGTGGAGTTGAGCACAATATCCAGAACAACACTACAGTCTCAGGAACTGAAGCCCAGCAGTTTTGCTTTAAGTTTCTTCTTGGGCTGGGGCTCTGCCATCATCTCAGCTGGTCATGGTGTAGAATTTTGCTGCCTACAGCAAGAACACAGGGATACACACTGGAACACAAAATCCAGGAGGAGAGAGGGATAGATTCTAGTAAAGATTGAAGGGTATCTGGGCTCAGAGGCCTGGACCATTTTTCATCCCCCAATTTTCCTTGCCATAGGTAGATTGGTCTTGGGCATGCTGTTTAAGAGTTACCTCCCAATATCTTGGAAGAAAAACAAAGAATAGGTCAGCTCTGAAAGACAATAGCAACCCTTTATAACAGTGTCCCCTGACAGCAACTTGCCTCTCCCTAAGCAGCAATAAGATGCCTCACCTCTACCATGTGCTAGAATAATGTTCTGGGGACTTGACTAGTTCACTTTCATTGCATGAATAAGATCATGAGGATCCAGGTATGGTAAAGATGAATGTTGGACATTAGAGTCATAAGGATCATGTAAGTTTATGAAAGCAGTAGATAGGCAGACATGGTGGTGCATGCCTCTAATCCCAGCACTCAGGAGACTTAGGCAGGTCTAGGTCAGCCTAGGCTGCATAGTGAGGCCCTGTTTGAAAAAATAAAGTGGACTGGAGAGATGGCTCAGCAGTAAGCTCCTCTAACAGAGGAACCAGATTCAATTCCCAGCACCCACATGGCAGTTAACAACCGTCTAACTCCAGTTCCAGGGGAATCCAGCACCCCCTTCTGACTTCTGCGGGCATCATCACGGGTGCGCTTACATGCAGGCAATAAATAAAATATTAAAAAATAAAATAAAAAAGCAATGGAGAAAATTGCCTAAAAAGGAAGGAGTCAAGTAGGAAAACATATATATGGTAAAGGATAATATAGTTGTAGTTTTAAAAATTAAGATGCAGCCAGTAAAAAATGATGATAGACCAGTAGAAAAATGGACATGTTTTTGTTGGGATGTTTATGTGTAAGTACATATGTATTTGCACATGCATAGAGAAAAACACCCATTTATGAAAGTGTACATATATGCAAGTGTGCATAGGGAAGAGGCTTAACATATACATCAAAGTATTCTCTCTGGATTGCTGAGGTACTTTTTCTTTGTGTGTTTTCCAAGGTTTATTTTTTAATATTTTCATTTTTCGTTTTCTTCCTCATAGTGCTTTACATTTTCCAAATCTTCAACTACGGGGTGTATATTCTTTCATAATGAGAAACAGTTTGCTTATAGTTAGTTGAAGCTTCTATGCTTCTGTGGAAATCCTCTGGTCCTTGGTATCTTCTGTGGGATCAGATTGATTGAGAGCTCCTCTGCATCCTGCTGGCCTCCTGTCCTCTGCTCTCTTGTCTTCTCTCTACTGATTGTACCCTGAACATCTTTGAAATTTTCCTCCTTTCTCTGTTGTCTCTTTTGCCTTGCTCATTTCAATTTCAACTGAATGTACAGAATGTCCCAATCCTCAGGGCCTGGGCTTAGAGATAAACATAGTTGCTGCCTGGCAGTCCAGGCTCCCTTCCTGCAGCCTTGGGGGAATGACCTCACCCGGATGCCTTGCCCAGAGCTGGGAAGCATGTGCTGACTCCTACAGTGTGCTTTGTGTCCTACTCATTATATTCTTGACCTCCAGTGAGGTTATCAGTTCAACAAGGCAGAACTTTGGTGTGCACTCCAAACCAGAGCTTGACAGTTCTAGTTTAAATTAGTAAACGATTGAATCCACTGCTTTATTGAAGCTTGTAGGAATTGTGTAGTCACCTCAGATTTATTTTATGAAAACGTATACTGAACTTTTGATCTGGTTGTCCAAAGCCTGATCTGTGCCATCCATAGGGAAAAAAAAGCCTTCCTTTTGAGTTAGATCTTTATGTTGGGTTTTTTTTTTTAAGGCAGGGTCTCAGTATGTAGCCCTGCCTGTCCTAGAACTTACTATGTGGGTTGGAACTCAAAAGAGATTCATCTGCCTCCAGAGTGCTAGAATTAAAGGTATGTGCCCCCATACCCAGGAAGCCAGATTTTTGTAATCTCCCTTGGCCATACTATTTTCCTCAATTAGGTCTGCTTCTTCCAATACAGTGCTATAATCTGTACAGTCAAGGTAGTTGCCACCAGTCCTTCACATGGAGTAACTAATAAGCTTGGCCCTGTTCATATCACATCCTGATCATTCTGCTCAAGTGGGACTCAGGGTCACAGATTCCAGGGTCCTTAGCCATTGCTGGTGCTGCTCCAGGAAACTAGAGGGTGGAGGGATAGTCCAGGAGTGCAGCACATCATCCCCATCTCAGGCCCCAACCCTGCCTCCCCTACCAGTCACTCTGCCTGAGCTGCTTCATTGCTGAGAAGGTTGCTGAATTGGGTGGTGGCTAGTACGTGACGTGTATGGAGATCAAAGAACAACTTGCACGAGTCAGTTCTGTCTTTATACCATGTTGGTCTCAGGAATCAAACTCGGGTCATCAGGCTTGGGTGACAAATGCCTTTACCTGCTGAACCATCTTGCAGGCTCCGAAATTTTGTTTCAATTGTTAACTAATCCCAAAGGAATAACTGAGTGATACTGAGTTTTTCCAGAAAGTTGATCTGTGACACTGTGGCTAATATGTCCCCTAGCCACTTAAGTGAGATTTTGCTTATCCCTCAGATGGCACACATTCTCAAAAGACTTAATGCCGCGGTATGTTTTTTGCCTATTTTAGAGACTTACTTTGAAAGCCTCTAGTGCATTTTCCATTTAAAGTCATTATGTACTGTTGCTATAGCCAATTAAAAATCCTCTTAACATCCTATCATAAATTATTGGATCAAAGGATATCATCACTATATTTCTGTCCCAAGAAAGTTGAAACTTAGGATCTACATCAGTTAATTGCTTATTTTTCCAAACAAAGCAAAGTATGACTATTAGTGCAATCAATTACATATGAACTCGGAATGCCAGAGTTTTTTATGTAAGTACCCAAAAATGTGGAGTTTAAAATTTTTTAAAGCTTGGGAGTAATAGGTTAGAAAAAAAAAAAAAAAGATTAAAGCCAACTCTTGATGAGTTCACTCATTACTTACCCCATCACATAAAGGAAGAGCATTTGGAATTTCAGAGTTGATTAGTGGCCACAGTGGTTTCATTAGGCTTGTGTTGTTTGGTCAGTCCTTGTTCATTCATTACCCTCAGGGTAGTGTGTTAGTCCTGCCCCAGCTAGCTCGGGGGAGAGAATGTTTAATTCTAAGGCACTAAGGTAGCTCATAGGTCTTGTGAATAGTTGGGAATAGGGACCTAGGTAGTGCCTTTCTCCTATGCTTCTCCAGGTGGCAGCTGTATTGGGTCCTTCTGACCACCCTCAACCCTCAGGTTTGGCGATTCAGTAGAGGAAAGCATTAAACTCCAGGTAGATTTTGTGCTCAGGACTGTGATCTTTACAAGAGAAGGGTATGAAGCAAAGTCTGTACAAGGAAAGGGTGTGGGACAAGGCCAGAGGAACTAGGCACAGGCCCTAGGAGTCCTCCCAGTGGAGCGTCACATCTCATATTTTATTCCCCAAGCAGCAAACTGCAAAACACATAATGTGCTCCAAGTAGGAAAGCATGGGCTTTTTGAGGACTGCTCAGACAGTTAGCTACTTCTTATGGGAGGGCCCAGATCCTAGGGCCCAGTAAGAAGCAAACACCTGAGGTAAACCACACAAGTTTAGGTGCAGTATGTGCTCAGTTAGGGGTAGTGGTAGCCTTCCCCACACCCAGGTTTCCAGGACCAAGTGCAATGTTATCTTCACCCACACAGATGTGCCAGGGCTGTGCCAAAATTGACAAACCTTCAGGTCAGGTTATTTGTGGGATAAATTCCAGGGGAGAAAATTAGTTTGGCTAGGATCCTCTGTCCACCTTGATCCAGTCAGTAGGTTGGAGACATGATCACAAAACAATAGAGCAGAGTGGTACAGGATTTGATTCTGTGAGCCCAAATCAGAGCCAACAGGCCCAGCCGCTCTGTAGGAAGTAGGGTTGTGTGGAGACACTCACTTGTATGAAAGCAGCAATTGCCCAGGAGGTTCTGAGGTAGACTTCATTTGTAGATGATAGAAACTGCCTGATTCATCCCTGAGTTGCATTCTTGGGACAGATGTACAAGAATAGCACATATTTTATAATTTGTCAGTTTCTCTATTACGGTTTTATGGGGTTTTTTTTTGTTTTGTTTTAAAGCTTTGTAGGTAAAACTTGCTCTATAAACTATTGAAGGTTTGGGTTTTCAGTACACTGTACTGTGTTTTAAGTAATTCTTAGTCTTCTCAGTTATGCCCTCTGTAAGACATTCTGATATCTTCTTTCATCCCCCAACCACTAGGATTCCTTCAGGTATGTTATATATTCCTCTGTTCCCAGCTACATGCACAGTGTTGCATTGAATTACTTTAGGGAAAACATATATGCATGCATACTCGCACACATGCGCTTTGTAAAACCAAGCTCTACCAGCCAGACCTTCATTGTTCTGCTAATATTCATGTGTAGATAGTTATATGGAGTTAGATCAAATATACCCACCTCCACACTGACACAGTCATTATGGTCCAAGTATATCAGTTTGGCATTAGTTGTAGCCCAGGTGTGGTGCTCATTTCCCCATCCTGCGTAGGAGTGGCTAATTGCTTACAGGTGGATTTGCCACTGGTTCAGGGTAGGCACCTTTTGTCACTCTATTTGATGCACGACCTCATATCCTTAGTTTAGACTTTGCTTTTCTATCTCAAATCATCTTTGAGCTAGGAAGGGAAGAGGGACAACAGACAACAGGTTTCTTTTTTTAAGTACTGGGAATCAGACCCAGGACCCTTTGTGTGCTAGGCCTGTGCTCTGTCACTCAGCTACATGCCAGCCACCAAGAATAGGATTTCTAAGGAAAAGAGAGTTTTCTTATGAATCTAGAACTGTAAGTGAAGGATGGGAAACTCCAAAGCTCTCCAGCCAGTTAGGTAGAGGACTTGAGGGGTATAGACTGTAGGGAAATGCTTCCTCACATGACAAGCTGGATTTGTACACTGTGGTTTTAGGATACCCTGAGGTGGTGCCTTCTCCTTGCTGAAGTCTCCTTTGTACCCTCTTCTAGGAACTACTTGGTGAATTTGATGGACTAGTGTACACCCATAAACGCTAGTCCTCAGGAAGGACAGTGCAAAATCCACACACCTTTGGGTTCCCTGGCACCCTCTGTCTCTGATGCTGAGGAGGGCCAGAGGCCACAGCTGCGCAGTACAGGCCAGACAGTACAGCAGCAGGGCTAGAAAGGATCTTGTTGACAGAACAGTACTCAGTATTGGGAGGCTCATCTGCTGCTGAGGGAAGGAACTGTAAATGTTCCCTGGTTCCTTCTTAAGCCTCAGGCCTGTTTACAGGCACCTCCAGACAGTAATGACTTCCAACTACAGAATACTTCCGGTCTGTATCACCCAGCATAGTATTAGGGATATTGTTGTGGCTACCTGTAATTCAGTTACATAATGCAGATATATAAAGATCCAGTTGGGTTAAAAGCAAATAGTCCTTTTAATCGCCTTACACTGTTGTATGCATATAAATTTCATGAGATTGACTAATAATTTACTCAGGTAATAGAAATCTGCCACTCTTCAGTTGACTTCAACTACAGTTATTAGGGTGCTTTTGTTTAAGTGGCTGTGTATTGACCTCTGTCCGAAAAGTTCACATCTGCACTCATGCAGCTGCTGTATACTTGCATTTGGCAAGCGAACAACTAGGTACCTTGGTTAATAGAAAGAAGGGGCTGTGACATAGAAGCCCATTCCTCAACAACCTGCCAAGGGTTCATATACAGGCATGTAACATTTTTGTCACATCTTTTGTTTTCACAGTGAGAGAAAAACGCAAGAGTCTCTTCATTAACCATGTAAGTGAAACTATCTTCCCATGTTTTTAATAGTGACTGTGGTAGATAGCTTGAGTAACAATGTCTTTGGTGAAGATGCTCTGTGTTGTATGGTGCCTAGAAGAATGTGAGAAATGGTGACATACTGGTTTGCCAGGCATCACCTGGTATTCACTCCTCGCCCATTTGTCTCAAGATTCTCTAAGGCTGCTGTGGAAGGGACAATGCCTCTGGACAAGGCCACATTATCACAGCAAATACCACACCAGTCCACCCAAAGCTGTGGCTTTTGATTCTTGAACTCATTTCCTTTCCTCTCATTCCCAAAGACATTGAGTCTTTGTAGCTCAGTTCCGTTTAAATGTGCACATGTTTTCAGAAGCAGCTATCTGCTTCTTCACTCTCTTTTTCACAATTGCTTCTTGTCGGTCAAGTCTACACATTTTTTAGTGTCAAAAAACTGTTTGTGGGAAGAGGTAAACATGTCTCTCCTATCAGCTGGTTAGGCAGGAAGTATAGCAGGTCAGCTGCATCGTCCAGCTCCCTCCCTCCCCTCCATGGCAAACTCTGAACCCAAACCAGGCGTAACTACCCCTCTCTTCCTTCTGAACATGCATCCTGTTCTTTAAGAAAGAAATCTGTCTCCACAAGGTAAGGAATGATAAAGTTAGGTGCTTTAGTTTGATCTCTAGTGCTATGAATAAAACATCATGACCAAAAGGAACTTGGAAGGAAAGGGTTTATTTGGCTTACAAGTGTAGTCTGTCACTGGAGGAACTCAAAATAGGAACTTGGAGGCAAAAACAGCAATCCTGCCTACGAGCTTGCTTCCCCTGGCTTGCTCAGCTAGCTTTCTTTACAGCCCAGGCCAGCCTGCCCCAGGGATGCCACCACCCACAATGTTTTGGGCCCCCTTCCATCAAATAGCAGTCAAGAAACTGCCCCACAGACATAGCCACAAACCAATCTGATGGAGGACATTTCTCAATTGGGATTCCCTCTTCCCAAGCATGTCTAGGGTTGTATCAAGTTGCCAAACTAAGGAGCACATTAGGTAAATTGTCAACATTAAGTGTGCTTATAAGCTCCTAAACTCAAAACAGCAATGATGAATTTGGACTTAGAAAGGCCTTTCCCACCAGGTGTAGTGGTCAGTCTGATTTACAGAATGAGTTCCAGGCTAGCTGGGGATTCAGGGAGACCCTGTCTCGAAAAGACCAGAACAATAATAACAGTAACACAACAACAACAACAACAATAAGGCTTGTTTCAGGATTCTTATACTGCATTTCTTTCTTGTAGATCTTCAAGTAAACCTATGTATTTCTTAAAATAATTTTATTAACTTTTTGAGAATTTCATACAGTGTATTTTGATTCTATTCAGGCCCCTTTCCCTATCAGCACACGCCCCCACTTACCTCTTCCCAATTTCATTTCCTCAATTTCTTTTAAGACCAGTTGAGTCAAGTTTGTGTCCACAAATGCCCTTCAATGTGGGTCCATCCCCTGGACCCTGGTCAACCTACTCATTGTCACACTCTTAAAGAAAACTGACTCTAGCCGGGCATGGTGGCACACGCCTTTAATCTCAGCACTTGGGAGGCAGAGGCAGGCCAAGCTCTGTGAGTTCAAGGCCAGCCTGGTCTACATAGTGAGTTCTAGGCTAGCTGGGGCTACAGGGAGATCCTGTCTCAAAAAGACAAAAAAACAAAAACAAACAAAAAACCCAACAGAGCCTGACTTTTCCTCTCCCAGGTGCTATCAGTTGCCAATAGTCTCTCAGCTAGGACTGGGGCTTCTTACCAGCCTCCCCTATTCTACGCTGGGAATTTGGCTTGAGCTTACATAGATCTTTTTGTGCATGCTGGCAGTAATGTTGTGTTCCTTGGCCCTCAAAACTCTGTAAGAATTCCCAAATTGGGCTGGGCCAGTAGGAAACTGGTGGTTCCTCTTTGCAGGGTCAGCATATGTCTGTGTCCTGAGGGTCCCTAGTTCCTATTAGTTTCTTTTGTGTTTTTTATGTCTTTTGCTAATGTGTGTGCATATGAGTACACATCTGCCACAGGGGACGCATCTCAGAGTCAGTTCTCTTCCTGCTACTTTGTAAGATATAGGAATCAAAACAGGTTGTCCGACCTATACATAGAACCACTTCGTATTAATCTACCTTACCAGCACTCCTATCAGTTTTCTGAAGCATTTCCTGACTTGTCTTAATTTCAAAACATTGAGTTTATAAAGCTGTGAGGTCACAGTGTATGGCATGAGGAAACTGATGAAAATAGCTGTGCTTTGTGTGTGTGTGTGTGTGTGTGTGTGTGTGTGTGTGTGTGTATTAGGGAAGCACTGTGCACCTGAATATAGAAAGGTGAATGATTGAAGCCAAGTTTATTGACCTATGGGATGCACTTGACTGCCTTCCTACCCTCAGATGGAAAAGCTGAAACTGCAGCCAGACCCCTTGCTAGCCACTGAACTCCTCTGAGGGGTTATAAGAAGAGATTTGATGTCCAGGCTGCGCCTAACCATGGCTAATGGACAGGTGTGCTCTCACTGTTCTAATCTTATACATGTGTTTTCATATACTCTTCTATGTCCTGTGCAGTCTTGGCACCTGCCTCCCACTGAGTTGGTAGCCATGGGTTATCATATAGATGTGGGTGGCTGACTGCATATCCTCACAGTAACTGCCCAGCCACCACAGTGAGCCACACAGATATTGTGATTTCTCATTTGTACTTATCCCTGAATGAACAAGTACATTCAGTGCTAAGTCTGTGTCAGATGACCCTGGAACACATGATTTCAGTCTGTTCCCAGACCGACCTTCAGATGAGATTGTAAGTTCTGCTTCTGCTGGGAAAAGCAAAATGCTGTTCAATCCTGTGATGTAGGGTTGAAGTGAGATTCCATTAGGCCAGTATACCAACTGTGATTTTCTCTGTAACTTGGACATAGAAGGGTGGGAGCTTGCAGCCATCTGCCATGGGCATATAGTGAATTTGTACTGGGACAGTCTCCATGCCAGCTCCATAGTCAGTCAGCCCCTTATTGATGGGAAAAAAACCTAGGCACAGAGACCTCAACCAAGTAAGCAATAGAGCCAGGATTGGAACATGCTTCTCATATAGTAAGACCAGGGCCCTCTGGGACCAGGATTCTACTTACCTGAAGTTAGAGGTGATTATTACAGTTACATTTTTTCCAGGACAGTCTGTAGAATTCAGTTCTGAATGTGGATCCTAAGTAAAAATTTTAGTTTGTTCTTTAATTCTGGAACAACAGGTGTCCTGTGTCTTCGTTTATATAATTTTATTGTTTCTTTTATTTCTCCTATGGGTTTCTGAAGAACCTACATAGTATCTGTTGCTCAAGTAATCTACAAAGAGGCTGTTATTCAAGAAAAATGAAAACAGTAGATGTAGATAAATCAGTGAAGAGAAATGGGTGAGGCTTTACTCCTGGCTAGGTGTTAGTTACTATTCTCATTGCTGTGATCAAATGCAAAAGCAGCTTAAGAAAGAAAGAAAGGTTATTTGGTTCACAGTTTGAAGGTAAAAGTCTTCATGGTGAGGAATACATGGCAGTAGGAGCTTGAGGCTGCTGGTTGCATTGCATCTGCAGTCCCTCCCTTCTTCCTTCTTCCCCTTCTCGCCTTCCCTCTCCCCTTCTTTTTCTCCTCCTTCCTCCCTCCATCTCTTCACAGGGTCTCACGGTGTATTCCTAGCCTGGAACTCAACTATGTAGGCCAAGCTGGCCTTGAACTCACAGAGATCCCCCTGCCTCTGGTCCATCTACCCCTGGAGTGCTGGAATTAAAGGCATGCACCACCACCCCTGACTTACTTTCTCTTTTTTATGTAGTCTGGGACACCCATGGATGGTGCTACCCACATTCAGAATGGGTCTTTTCATCTCAGTTAACTCAGTCAAGAATCTTGTAGACGTACCCAGAGGCTTGTCTCCTAGGTAATTCTAGATCTGGTCAGGTTGAAAAATCCATTTTAACTACCACAACAAGGGAAGTAACCTTCTCTAGATGGAAAGATTCTTCTGGCTCCTGGCAGATAATATACATCAGCAGGTGGAAAAACATTCTCTTCTAAGAATGGGACCCCAGGGGCTGGAGGGGTGGCTCAGCGGCTAAGAGCACAGACCGCTCTTGTACAAGATCCGGGTTAGGTTCCCAGCACCCATATGGGAGACTGACTGCTGTCCAGAACTCCTGTTCCAGGGAATCTAACGCCCTCTTCTGGCCTCTGTGGGCATTGCATGACACAGGTACACTATTACATGGAGGCAGTATACTCATACACATAAAAGTTAATAAATAAAATACATATTTTTTTTTAAAAAAAAACAGAACCCCAGAATGGTTGGGTGTTTAAGTGACTCAGATTGATCAAGAGGAGTTTAAAGAATTAAAGGGTGGCTACTTCTAAAGATTTATTACACAAGCTTGAAAACATTTGAGAATAAAATGATCTGGGAGTCCTAACAGCAAGTTAAATCAACTGACATGAAAATATTAATATTCTGGGGCTGGAGAGATGGCTCAGTAATTAGGAACACTGGCTGCTCTTGGAGAGGACCTGGGTTCAGTTCCCAACATCCACATGGCAGCTAACAACCATCTGTAACTCCAATTCCAGGGCATCTGACATCTTCTTCTGACCTCCACAGGCATTACACAACACAGATGCACTTATGTGCAGGCAATGCACATAATCGACTCCTCAGTTTTAGATGTAATTAGAATGAAAAATAGTAATTACGATTTTAAGTTTTATATAAAGGTCTGTATTTAAATTTTGTTCTGTATATAAAATGCACTGAAGTTTCAGCTGTTCCTTTCTCTACGGTTAGCTATTTTGATAAATCTTTTAACTAAAATGTGAAAAGTTCTGATTAAAAGTTAAAACATTGTAGATAACTACAGTCTGGAATCTCCTTGAAGCATAGGGAAAACTCAGGCCTTTCATGTTGGCTAATTTTTTATGACAACATTCTGCTTCCTGGT